AATTTTTTATTTTGACCTACTTTTCGGACACCATATCTCAAAAGTGGGTCAAAATACTCTCTGACGGCAAAAGGCAAACACTATTAGCACACTCTTTGCTACCTGTATACAAAATTTTGAAGCAAATCCTAAAAGTGTAGTGCCAGAATCGCAGAAATAAGGAAAAACTATGAATTTGACCTAGATTTTGACCTAGGCATTTTGGTGTCCATATATTGAAACTAGGTAGCTTTTGAGGTCCCCTTCTTTTATAGGAATTCATTATCTTAAGCTGTACTCAATCTATATCTCGTATTTTACACTTCAAAAAAATCTTTTTTCCTTGACTTTCAATCAGGATAACATCAGATCGATTTTTCTCGAAATTTCAAAACGCCATAACTTTCAAACGGGAAATCGGATCGAAATTTGGTTTGCAGATTCGGATTCCTGACAAAATTCTACCCCTAATTCATAACTCATACGTTAAATTTAGAATTTTTTTATTTTGACCTACTTTTTGGACACGCCATAACTTCCGAACCGGAAGTCGGATCGAAATATGATTTGCAGATTCTGATTCCTGACAAAATTCTACCCCTGATTCATAACTCATAAGTTAAATTTGAAGAATTTTTTATTTTGACCTACTTTTGGGACACCATATCTCAAAAGTGGGTCAAAATACTTCCTGACGGCAAAAGGCTAACACTATTAGCACACTCTTGGCTACATGTATACACAATTTTGAAGAATATAATTAAAGTGTAGTGTCAGAATCGCAAAAATAAGGAAAAACTTTGAATTTGACCTAGATTTTGACCTTGGCATTTTTGTGTCCAAATTTTTAAGCTAGATGGCTTTTGAGGTCCCCTTCTTTTAAAAGCTTCCATTATATTTAGCTGAACTCAGTCTATATTTCGTATTTTTCACTTCAAAAAAATCTTTTTTCCCATTGACTTAACATGGGCACCAAATTTAGCGATTTTTGAGCTTTCAAAACGATATTACTTCCGAACCGGAAGTCGGATCGAAATTTGGTTTTCAGATTCGGAATCCTGAGAAAATTTACTACAAGACCAGTAGCGTGGACATTGAATTGGGAGAACTTTTTTTTGGACCTCGTTTTCGGACACTGATATCTCGAAATCGGTTTGAGATATCAAAAAACTAAATCGACCAGTTTTCCCCTACTTTTTTATGAGGAACACAATGAAAAAAACCCGGATTGAAAATATTGAAGGACGACCGAGAAAATTGAAAAAAGTGACAAAGTACTGGATTTGACCTAGTTCTTGACCTTTGACCTAGATAAAAATTTGACCTAATTTCCCATCATCCCAGATACATTCCCTAGTTGATCATGTAAGTAGCTTAAAGTAAGTTCTTCTAGTTGGTGAGAAATCTTGTAAGGAGGAAGAGGAAGAAAGAAAAATAATAATAATAAGAAAACTGGCAAAAGCAATAGACTCCAGATTTTCATCTGGAGTCTAATAATAATAATAATAATAAAGAAAACAGGCAAAAACAATAGACTCCAGATTTTCAATCTGGAGTCTAATAAAGAAAACTGGCAAAAGCAATAGACTCCAGATTTTCAATCTGGAGTCTAATAATAATTAGCAACATTTTAGCGAAAACATACGAAAATTAAAAAATTGTCTATTGAAAGAGCAATAATAAGAAAGAATATCGGCGATCAATGACTTTTATTTTCAAAAAATTAATTTGACACCAATTTTTCGCTTGATTATGAAGCATAATTATGTCATGGTCATTTTAAATATATCAAAATAGCTTTTAAATCAGATCGTTTTCATACATGAACCTTGTTCAATATTCAGTATGAAAATAGAAAAGATATGTTTACCATTTATTTATTTACCCTAGCCTTTTTTATTTATAAGCTTCAATTTAGATTCTTCTGTTCTTTCATCTGATCTATGGCGTGTGGCATCTTTGACCCTAGCCACGGACATATTCAAATATTCCCATTCTGGGTACATGTTTGATACTAGACATGCTGTGCCATATTTGATACTAGCCATGTTGTGCGACATCTTTGATACTAGCCATGTTGTGTGATATCTTTGATACTAGCCATGTTATGTCATATTTGATACTAACCATGTTGTGTGACATCTTTGATACTAGCCATGTGATGTTGAATGACATATTTGATACTAGCCATGTTGTGTCATCATTGATACTAGCCATGGCGTGTCATCTTTGATATTAGCCATGTTGTGTGACATCTTTGATACTAGCCATGTTATGTCATATTTAATACTAGCCATGTTGTGTGACATCTTTGATACTAGCCATGTAATGTTGAATGACATATTTGATACTAGCCATGTTGTGTCATCATTGATACTAGCCATGGCGTATCATCTTTGATACTAGCCATGCTGTATGACATCTTTGATACTAGTCATGTTGTGTCATCTTGATATTAACCATGCTGCAATGCTATGTGATATAGGATACTGGCTGTGTTATGTGACAACTATACTAGGTAAGTTGTATCATCTTTGATATCAACCTTGTGCAACATTTTTGATACTAGTCATGGTGTCTCTTCTTTGATACTAGGCATGTTGTGTCATCTTTGATACTAGTCATGGTGTGTCTTCTTTGATACTTGCCATGTCGTGTCACCTTTGGTATCACCCACGTTGTGTCATATTTGATACAAGCCATGTTTTACCATCTTTGATACAAGTCATGTCAAGTCATCTTTGATACTAGCAATGTTGTGTCATCTTTGATACTAGTAATGTTGTCAACCTGTTTGAGATCTTTGACACTAACCATGTTATATGACATCCTTGATACCAGATATGTTGAGTGGTATCTTGTGGTACTAGGCATGTTAAGTGGCATCTGGCACTAGGCATGTTGAGTGGAATCTGGTAATAGCCATGTTGAGTGGCATCTGGTACTAGCAATGTTGAGTGGCATCTGGTACTAGCAATGTTGAGTGGCATCTGGTGGTACTAGTCATGTTGAGTGGCATCTGGTACTAGCCATGTTGAGTGGCGTCTGGTGCTAGCCACATTGAGTGGCATCTGGTACTAGCCATGTTGAGTGGCATCTGGTGGTACTAGTCATGTTGAGTGGCATCTGGTACTAGCCATGTTGAGTGGCGTCTGGTGCTAGCCACATTGAGTGGCATCTGGTACTAGCCATGTTGAGTGGCGTCTGGTGCTAGCCACATTGAGTGGCATCTGGTACTAGCCATGTTGAGTGAAATATGGTACAGGTCATTGAGTGGCATCTCTGATATTAGCCATGTTGAGTGGCATTTGGTACTAGCCATGTTGAGCGGAATCTGGTACTAGCCATGTTGAGTGGCATCTTTGATATTAGCCATGTTGAGTGGCATTTGGTACTAGCCATGTTGAGTGGCATCTGGTACTAGCCATGTTGAGTGGCATCTTTGATATAAGCCATGTTGAGTGGCATCTGGTGGTACTAGCCATGTTGAGTGGCATTTGGTACTAGCCATGTTGAGTGGCATCTGGTACTAGCCATGTTGAGTGGCATTTGGTACTAGCCACGTTGAGTGGCATCTGGTGGTACTAGCAATGTTGAGTGGCATTTGGTACTAGCCATGTTGAGCGGAATCTGATACAAGTCATGTTGAGTGGCATCTGGTACAAGTCATGTTGAGTGGAATCTTTGATATTAGCCATGTTGAGTGGCATCTTTGATATTAGCCATGTTGAGTGGCATTTGGTACTAGCCATGTTGAGCGGAATCTGATACTAGTTATGTTAAGTGGCATCTTTGATATTAGCCATGTTGAGTGGCATCTTTGATATTAGCCATGTTGAGTGGCATTTGGTACTAGCCATGTTGAGCGGAATCTGATACTAGTTATGTTAAGTGGCATCTTTGATATTAGCCATGTTGAGTAGCATCTTTGATATTAGCCATATTGGGTGGAATCTGATACAAGTCATGTTGAGTGGCATCTTTAATATTAGCAATGTTGAGTGGCATCTTTGACATTAGCCATGTTGAGTGGCATTTGGTACTAGCCATGTTGAGTGGCATCTGATACTAGGTGTGTTGAGTGGCATCTGGTACTAGGTATGTTGAGTGGCATCTGGTACTAACAATGTTGAGTGGCATCTGGTACAAGTCATGTTGAGTGGCATCTTTAATATTAGCCATGTTGAGTGGCATCTTTGATATAAGTCATGTTGAGTGGCATCTGGTACTAGGCATAGTTTGTGACATTTTCAGTAGTTGCCAAATTGATATCTGACATGATTTCATTTACTATTTAGGCCCAACATTTTTCTTAAATGGTTCATAGATAAAGTCCTTTACTGAGTTGGTATAAAGGGAATTATTACATTGTTCTAATTATTTATTAACACCCTGTTAGAGTACATAATCTAACTGAACTTCCACCGAACTCCTTCGCAAAGTCATAAAGGGCTGACTATTATAACAGGCATCCTGCTTCAATCATCACATTGTCTGAACCCACACAGCATTGATAAATTATAGCAATGTTAGACAACAATTGCATTTTGAATACTGTTTCTATTCCATACATGTAATGTTATAATGATATTCAAGTAAACAGAGAAACATTATAAAGTTACTCAAATGCAAAATTCAGTGCCTGTATGGGAATCAAACCTATGACCATACGTGTAGCCAGGGGGGCACCCCACCATAACCAATAAAAATATAACCATGACATAGCAATTTTGAAGGAAGTTGCATCAATTTTTATAAAATTCAAGATAAATCCGAAGATTTTGGCTTGTTTATGCCACAATCACATCCCCCTGACTGAAAACCGAATTTTTTTGGCGATCGCACACCCCTGACTGAAAGCTGGGTACGCCCCTCGTATGACCCTTATGATCCAAGGATTGTGCTATAAACTGAGCTATAAAAGCTTAAGCACTTTGGTATCCAGGGTCATTACGCGCCCAATGAGAAAGGAAATCAGTAATTCAGTGTTCCCTTTATTGCTAGCTACCGTTATGTTTCAGTCATCATTGTCATGGGGACCAGCTATTATCACAGCCAATGGGAAACGCTCATTCATCCCACCGACCGACATCTATTCTTTGGAGAAACAACTAGAGGCATGGCGATGTTGTCCCGAGGGTCTCAAAACATCATGGGATATGTTTCAAGGAGAACGAAATGAATATTCATACTGCAAACAGGCGACAAAATGTTGCAGCCATCTAATGGAGGTGTCTACCCAGCATGTCGATGGAACAGGCTTCAGTTTATGTGTAAAAGATACGGTAAGTTTTCCAAGGTTTACCAATAGCCAGGACAATACGGAGTATATGTCTACGCTTGTGATTAATCACATTTCAGACTGACTCCCTTAACTCATATATTTTTCAAGTTGTATTGATATGAAGTAAATTAGTTTTAAAAATGAATACATGCTACAATCAAATGTACTCTTACCCCTTCTTGGTACTAATTACTTTTTTGTGGGCATAAAACAGTACAAGCCATATTTCAGGACTAACCTTGTCCTCATTTGAACATGTTGAAGTTAGAATTAAAAATTCATAGCCTTTCTGCAACAAATCATGCAATATGGGCTCTATCTTTTGTAACAGCTATAATCTAATTAAATCAATGTTTTTGAAAGTGAAGATATCATGTTAGCACTAATTGATTTTTATTGCATATCCAGAGATCAACTTAATTAATTATTTTTTACTTACTGGAGTTTCATGCTACTTAACACATTCTTAGTCTCACAGGCATTTTATTTTAGCATAGGCATTAGGCAAAGTACTTAACCAAGGGCAACCACTAGGAAATGTTGATATTAGCTTTAGCTTTTATTTCAAGGGAAATATTTTGTTTTTCCCAGAGGTGAATGAGGTGTGAAGAACATGTTCATTTAATGTAGAAAAACAGGAACCAATGGAGTAAAACACAAGGGGAGTGATTCGGCGCCTTCATTGAGGCATCACTGCTCATTTGAGGACAAATTCTTATTCAGAAGTAGCTACAGTTGAATAAATGCAGGCCTGTAGCCAGGGAGGGGGGGGGGGTGGTTGGAGTGAAGCCTCCTGGCCAAAAATTCTCTTAAAATTATACAGTTTTCCACGAGTATTTTTCATGTGATTTTTGACCAATTGTCAAAATTGAACCCCCTGAAATCTTTTAAAAACTGACCCCCATCTTGAGCCCTCTTGATTGGCTGCACAGAACATGCCCCCAAAAGCTTGTTATAGTCCATTGATTGTGCTGCTTTTCTATCTCAGTATTCTAACGTAATGCCATAATATCATTCCTAATATAACATTAGAGCCATCAGGACACAATATCAATTGGGATGGTAAGACTGATTAAGCTAAATCCAATATTCTTATATAACATTACTATTAGATGAATCACTTTAATTTGTTCTACTTTCATCACGACTTTGTCACAATTATTAAATTATTTTACTAAATTGACTTTTATGCATTAAATATTAAAATTGACAATATCAATTGAGTATTGCTATAGTAACACACTAGGCTAATCAGGGGAGAGATTGGGTGGTAAAATTCATAACAGAATGACTGTTTACAAGACAGGTATCATCAACATGAGAGATTAACAAATTAGAAAACATCCTACTGTAAATGATGTCCCAACAAGCAACTCCCCCTCAACAAACACCGAAACTACGTCAAAGATGTTTATGAATAATATATATCTGATCTAATTTTCCTAATTACATTCTCATGTTGTTTCCTTTTCTTCTATTTTTAGGCATATCAGAAAACTATGAACACTTTAAGAGTTTTGACCAAACTGATGAACAAGAAACAGAATTAATGACTAACAATCTGAGGCTTAACAACCCGAGGATCAATAATGTGAGGCTAAACAATGTGAGGCTAAACAACTTGAGGCTACGCAATCTGAGGCTAAATATTTAAACAAACTGAGGCTCTTCCAAGCACCAATCTATCAGTGCAAGCATGAATAATTGAGCTGAAATAGACTATTTAAGTTAATTTAACATCAAAAAGAAAAACTAAACAGTGAATGGCCTGGGTTATTTTCCTCATATTAGAGAAATGAGAGATGTTGCAGTACAGTGCAGTACAATTAAGTACAGTATGATAGAGTACATAAGAGCACAGTGGAGTACAGTACGCTATATGTATATAAACATTGCATGACTTTAGCACACAAACAATTTTAAAAAGCTGAGGATACAAGCAATTGAATGAAATGAAAACACCTGATAAAATAATAATAAAAACAAGAAAATATTTAATGATAAAATGATCTGTGTATTCAAACAGTAATTTCATGATGTGTTTCTTACATTCTATATTACGCTAACTCCTGTCAAGTCTCAAGTAGACTAATTACTTTGAGCATGTTCTTTATAACAATAAATCAAAGATAAGACATCATCAAAGTGATTTAATAGCTTTAATTATAGCATTTAGGGAAATGCTTACCATACTTCTTGAGCTTCACACAATGTGAGGTTCACTTTTACTTTAAGGAAGCCAGAGTTGAATGAGTAATCTTGCAAATTAAGGTAGGCAGAAAAGAATGAGAAACAAGGCTTGAATGTTTTACATGTAGGCCTTCATACTGTTCTACCAAGACCACCTTAATTAGAAACCTCAGTCTGTATCTGCATTTGGATATCTCCTTTTAAGGTTCTCCTTCCTTTGTCTATCACGTCTCAATGCTTTAGTGCGAACTCGCAGTTTTTGTTCAATCTCCCTACGTCTCAATTTATTCATCCAAACTCCAAGATGATCATGTCGCGCCATAAATGTCTTATTCATAAAGGAAGGTATGACTGATTCCCGTCTTTTGCGCCAATATTTTTGTCCGAGTATATTGGTGTCCCTGTAGCCCCCTGGCTCCCCTGTTTCCCCCTTCTCAAGCAAGTTGTAGGCTCTGTCACGCTCTTTGACCACTTTGAGTACGTTCTCCATGCTTTCCTCAACCTGCAACACAGGATATTATGTACTACAAAATGTAAATGCACACATAGCTGGGCAAGGTGTTTCTGATTCCAGCCAATCCAAACACAGTATTTCATATAACTGCACTGCAATAACTCACCCAAGGTCATTCATTAATGGTTGTCAAGATGAAAACTTGGCTCTACAGATTGAAATTGATGTTTGCCAACTTGACCCTTGTAAAAAGTTTCACTGAAAATATGTTCTTAAAGTGATTTCGTATCTTTGTAGAAAATATTTGTATTTGATTTTGTACAAAATATTTTTAAATGTGTGAAAAAAATTTAAGCCCAAGACTTGATACATTGTGACTGATTCACTCCAGTCAGACGTTATTTCCTTAACTTTACACTCGATGCTGGTTGAAGTTTGAAATTTTTGAAGAATGATTCAGACCACATTGCACTGAGTCAAGGGCTTAAATCCTTAAATAATGTCAAATATATCTCATATCACAAGAGTCTTACATCAAACTGTCTTCATGGGAGTTTGAACCAGAACAACAGCAACGCCAAAGCGTAGCGAATCCCATCAAACAGCCATGGCTGGCATATTTACAAACAAAGTATACAGCACAAATGGCAGCCATTTTTCAAAATGGCAACATTCTACCATTAGACAGTGTCATTAGACAGTGTGCCATGCTTATAGTGAAATATGTTAAAATGGTGGCTATTTTTCAAAATGGCTGCCTTCTACCAAAAGTGTCATTAGACAGTGTGCCATGCTTATAGTATTCACATACCAAATATGAACAAAATCGCTCCTCTACTTTTCGAGTTATAGTAAAATACATTAAAATGGCGGCCATTTTAAAAAATGGCCGCTTACAAACAAAGTATATAGCACAAATGGCAGCCATTTTTCAAAATGGCCACCTTCTACCATTAGACAGTGTCATTAGACAGTGTGCCATGCTTATAGTATTTACATACCAAATATGAACAAAATCGCTCCACTACTTTTCGAGTTATAGTAAAATACATTAAAATGGCCGCCATTTTTCAAAATGGCCACCTTCTACCAATAGTGTCATTAGACAGTGTGCCATGCTTATAGTATTCACATACCAAATATGAACAAAATCACTCCACTACTTTTCGAGTTATAGTAAAATACGTTAAAATGGTGGCCATTCTGAAAAATGGCCGCCTTCTACTAAAAGTGTCATTAGACAGTGTGCCATGCTTATAGTATTCACATACCAAATATGAACAAAATCCTCCACTACTTTTCGAGTTATAGTAAAATACATTAAAATGGCGGCCATTTTGAAAAATGGCCACCTTCTACTAAAAGTGTTACAGTGTGTAGACAGTGTGCCATGCTTATAGTATTCACATACCAAATATGAACAAAATCGCTCCACTACTTTTCGAATTATAGTAAAATACGTTAAAATGGCGGCCATTTTGAAAAATGGCCGCCTTCTACCAAAAGTGTTACAGTGTGTAGACAGTGTGCCATGCTTATAGTACTCACATACCAAATATGAACAAAATCGCTCCACTACTTTTCGAGTTACAGCAAAAATCGTAAAATAATGAGTAAAGGCCGCCATTTTTCAAGATGGCTGCCATGTGCTTCTTTAATATCTACATTTCTAGCTTTATTAATGTCCTATGTAATTTTTTTTACATTTAAAACATATTCCTATAACAGTTTTACATATTTCACATAAATTACTGTAAAATCGGCACTAAAATGGCCGCCATTTTTAAATGAGCGGCCATTTTGAAAATCAGCTTCCGAGCAGAACTTCTTCCCCCATAGGGTATATGTGTACAAAATATGAACAAAATTGGGCTAACGGTATTTGAGTTATTGCCCGGACGGATGGACGGACGGACGGACGTCATTTGTTGTTGCTGCATTGGTTTCTTCATTCATTTTCTTCTTTCTTTGTCTTGATTTGATTGCGATGTTACTTATCTTTCTTCAGGGTCCACAGACTTGAGACTGCGCATAGGTGGGTTAAACGTTTTGATCCGGCCGGAAAACTCTCCCCTTCCCCTTACTGTTGGTCTTATGCTGATTTGTCCTCTTAGTTTACCCTCTTTGCGGAGAAGATACTGTTTCACATTCATTTGTTAATGTTCTCTTCTCTCATTAATTTTCCAGTCCTTCATGATGATATTCTCCTGCATATTGTATTTAGTACATATCCATTTATTTCTTGTTATAGCTTTCTTAGTATACGAATTTAGTATGTTGCTCCTGTAGCCTTGACATTGTAGTTTATTTCCCAGGCTGGTAACTCTGTTTGTTGCATCTTCCAGTTGACTGCAGATTCTTGAAATCCTTATTATTTGTGATATAAATATTCCATAAGATTGGTTTCTAGGAATATTTCCAGATAGATCAGGATATGAGACTATTTGGAAATTGAAGTTTTCCCTTTTGTCGTATAGTTTTGTAGTGATTTGTTTATTTACTATTTTCATTTGTATGTCCAGAAAAGTTGTTTCTGTATCCTTCTCATTTTCCTTGTTTAACACTAGTTCTTCAGGATAGATGTTCTTCATATCAGTCTCCATTTCTCCGTCGTTGTTTATAGTACATAAATCATCGATGAATCTTGTAGTTTTAGCATATTTTAGTACTTTGGAGTAGTCTTCCCTATACATTTTCTCAATGGCTTGAAATTCATAACTGTATAAGTATAGGTTTGCCATATATGGCGCCGGATCGATTCCCATTGGTATTCCAATTTTCTGTCTTAGAATTGATTTCCCTGCTTTAAAGTAGGCTGTATCCACGATGAAATCCACTAGATCATTACACTCTCCTTTGGTATATGCCTTTTTATTATCCGCCTTTCCACCCCATTTGGCTTCATCTCCACCTACTGTTATCTTTTGGTTAGTTCCTCCTCTGAAGGCTTTATCTATCACCCATTTCAGTTTTTCCTTTATGTCAGTTAGATTAATCTTTGTGTATAGTGTAGAGAAATCATACGAGGCTATGTTTCTTGCCCCGTTCCTTAAATTTACACTTTTAATGTTATCTAACATATTTTGGTTATTGTCACTGATCCACATCCTATTGGCACCTGTATAATCCTTAATCTTCTCACAGTATCTTTTGTTAGTATATTGCACTAGTTTAAGAATTTTGGTCAGTTTTTTGGCAGCTGGTTTTACAGAACTTTTCTTTGAGCCAATGATATATCTAAATTTAATTGGCTGTTTATGCATTTTAATTGTAAGATGAATCCTTGGTATAATATTTTGTTCTTCTCCCAGTTCAATCTTGAATTTTGTTTTCATTGTCTCTTTGATTTCCTCCACTATATCTTCTTCTCCTTTATCTTCTATCCTTTGATAGGTGTCACTCCCAATTTCCTCTTTAATCTTCTTTATGTAGTATTGTTTGCACATAAACCCAATATTATTTGCTGCCTTATCAATAGGTACAATGGCATATTTTTCCTTGAGTTGATTGAGTTCTTCCATAGCATTATGGTCCTTTAGTGTCTGCTTTGGATTTTTAATATGTCTAAATTTTGTATTTTGAAGTAACTCAATCTTTTGTTTAACCTTTTCCATTACAGTATTTTTCCATTCATTTAAGTATACTTTTGAAACTTTTTCATTTTTTGTCCAACTTATTGCATATTCATCTATTCCTTTCTTTATTTCTTCTTTTGCTTTCCTGAAGTTAATGTTTCGTTTTTCTCTATAGCCAGGACCTTTACTAAATAGCTTTCTCAATTTTGAATTTTGTATAATCTTCAGATTTCCTGTTATGACGTGACCATGGTCTTCATCCTTAAATTCAGATGTATTACAATCACATTCTCCTGTATTGTTGCCTTCGTCGATACTTTCTGTAATCTCACTATAGTTGAACAATTTATTCCTTATTGGCTTTGTGTATATATAGACAATTCCTGGTGGTTCCTTATTTTTGATACTTGAAGGTATTGTCTTGATCACTTCTTCATCTCTTAAGATATTTGCAATGTTGATTACTTCTACTGCTTTGTTTTCAAATAGTATTTTACAGAATTTTGTTGGTTTCTTTTTCCTATTCTTGGTCTTTAGTTCATTGTTTTTCCTAAGTTTTGATTGGATTCTGTCCTCCAGAGTAATTTTAAGTCGTGTGTGTAGTCTATCATTATCTTCTATATTTATCATTCCAAGTTTTTTCAATTCTGTCTTCTTCATTTGTGGGACTAATCTCAAGATTGTTTTCATACCTGCCAGTACATTTCCATTGCTTTGTTCCACTATAGTTTCAAATACGTCATTGGCTTTTAATGCCTTTTCTTTACGGTGGTTTCCCTTTGGCCTTTTGTTTTTCTTCTTCCGTTTGTTATCAAAGTCGTTGTATATTACATCATCTTCTGTTCTTTGCTGAGGATTTTTCTCCAGTCTGTTGTTTAATCCGTATGGGTGTGCACATTGGAATTTCTTTATCCAGTATGACTCCTTGTCCTCTCTTTGTTTTTGGTCTGCTGCCTTTTTGATTTCATATTTTTTACTTAGTTTGCTAATTTTCTTATCCTCTATTGGAACTCTTTCGATTATTTGTACATTATATTCTGAATCTTTACATGGGCCTTCATTGAAGTGATTCGCAAAGATCATACTGTTTGTTCCTTTGTTGTTTTTTATCCTACTTCTGTGGTCATTGAATCTTGCTTTAACAGTCTGGCCCGTTTGTCCGACATACTGAATTCCGCATGATGTACATGTAGCCAAGTAGATCACATTTTTTGTTTCACAGGACACTTCATTTAGGTCGTTTGTCCTGATTTTATACTGTTTACCAGTGTTATTAGCTATAATATATTTTCCTTCTTTATATGACTTACACAGTTTACATCCTCTTTTGTCGCATTTCTTTGACAAATTACCAGGATTATTCGAAGTAGAGTCTCCTGCTGTATCCTCAGAATTACCTCCGTTATCCTTATTGGGGGCTACAACATCAGCTTTAGCCTGTCGAAGACATTTACTTCTCCTAGAGTTTGGTTTGACACTAGGGGAGGCTACAATTGGGGAGGGCTGCTCCCCAGCTGCTTTTTGACTTCTTGTTTGAACCATTACGCCTATAGCGGCTTTTGATATATAATTTATTTCCTATTTCTTCTTCTTTACTTCTCACCACTTCTTCTAATACTTCTTCTAGTTTCTTCTCGATGGGATAATAAAATAAAAGCCAGCTAATAATGACTGATTGACCATTCTGGTGAATTCTAATATGATACATGACGTCACAATAACTAGAACAATTGATTTACTGGTCTATAATCGAGTATATATAACCACTAGAGGTGTAACTCCCGAGTCAGTAACTCGAGTACAGCTCGTCAGAGCTGCCTATACATTTGCTCGAGTTGTCCTCTAGAAACTCGCAATCTATTTCAACTCGCGAGCTAGCTATAACTCGAGTCAACTCGCGAGTTTCGCCTATCTTGCAAGCATGTAAAATGAATTCGGGTCCCAGAGATCGTGCAACATTACTTCATTAGTGGAATAAATATACCAATGATCACCATATTTGGCTCCCATCACCTAAAAAACACTCTCAAAGCTTCACAAAGTTCAACAAATATCGTGGAATGACGAGTTACACCAAAAAAATCAGAAAAAGATGACTATCGAAGGAACTCAACGGGCGATAATAGAGTAGTCACTAAAATTGAAGGAAATTTGTGTCCTTATTCTCACGTCGTTTACACGACTTTTACATAAAAAGATGTTCTATCATAAAATTAAGATCATAAGTCTTAACTTTAGATCGATAACCAGCAGTCTTTAGTATAAATAATGAAGATAATCCGGGAAAACCATTCATTAATTTGAGGGGGCCTTCTGGGTTTGCAAAAATATTGTTTGGTTAGATTCTAGCGATCTCTCGTCCTTACCGTATGCGGCGACGTCTATACCAGATCATTTTTGATTGAAATATGAGATAACTGCATGAATACCACTCTTTCTTATGGCCCCAACCTGTTAAACACCTTTTAGATGTGACTAAACCAGAGAAACTGGACGAAATGAATGAAATTTGAAAATTGGAAATATTTGGCAAGTTGAACTCGAGTTGGATTTTTCTGGCGAGTTACACCTCTTGGATTTTGATTTTACAGAAGATAAGGTAACTGATATGCGCTAATACGGTAATGCGGTAACATTATGGGAGTTTATAATCGCGAGCTTAAGCAGTGGAAGATATTGTTTAATTGTGGCGTCCCCACACAATATATGAACAAATTATAATACTCCAGAGATCCCATGCCATATAAGCCTGATTTGGTTCAAATATCAAAGCATAAAGTCAACAATAAAGTAGTTTAACTCTATGAAAGCTAAATACTTCGAAATCAATTACCGTCCGCCATCTTAGATGCGAAGGTTACGGCCATTACTTTCGCTTGATACTGACCAGTTATCATGCTATTTCTCTATTTCAATCTTTTAACAATAAACAGAATAACATTTTTGGTCACATATTGCACCATAAATCATAGAATTCCGGTCTTTATTCCTTAAATAAGATATATAAAGTTATTTATGTAAATTCTATACAATTCTATGAATGAATTAGAAAGTCCACAGTGCATGTACCTTTTCAAACCTCTCAGGGGAGGGGAGCAATTCAAGTTCCCTGTTGTATTCTTCTTCCATTGTCATCAGCATGTTGCGCTCTTTTAACAACACATACCTGAAAGCAGAACACATATGTCTTGTATAGAGTCATTTAATTTCCCCATATTACCCATATTTTTCACATTACACCTAGATTCTCTCCCATACACCTATATTCTCTCCCCATATTCTCTTCCTTACACCCATATTCCCTCCATACACCCATATTCTCTATCCGTGCAGCCATATTCTATCCATACACCCATATTCTCTCCCTTACATCTATATCCTCTCCCTTACACCCATATTCTCTCCCTTACACCTATGTCCTCTCCCTTATACCCATATTCTCTCCCTTACACCCATATTCTCTCCCTAACACCAATATTTTCTCTCCATATACCCATATTCTCTCCCTTACACTTATATACACTTTCCATACACCCATATTCTCTCTCATACACCCATATTCTCCCCGTTACACCAATATTCTCTTTCCATACACCCATATTCTCTCTCATACACCCATATTCTCTCCCTTACACCCATATTCTCTCCCTTACACCCATATTCTCTCCCTAACACCAATATTCTCTCTTAATACACCCATATTCTCTCCCTTATACCCATATTCTCTCCCTTACACCCATATTCTCTCCCTAACACCAATATTCTCTCTCCATATACCCATATTCTCTCCCTTACACTTATATACACTTTCCATACACCCATATTCTCTCTCATACACCCATATTCTCCCCGTTACACCAATATTCTCTCCCTTACACTTATATACACTTTCCATACACCCATATTCTCTCTCATACACCCATATTCTCTCCCTTACACCCATATTCTCTCTCCATATACCCATATTCTCTCCCTTACACTTATATACACTCTCCATACACCCATATTCTCTCTCATACACCCATATTCTCTCCCTTACACCCATATTCTCTCTCCATATACCCATATTCTCTCCCTTACACTTATATGTACACTCTCCATACACCTATATTATCTCTCCATACACCCATATTCTCTCTCCATATACCCATATCCTCTCCCTTACACCCATATTCTCTCTCCATAATATACTCATATTCTCTCATTACGCTCAAATTGCTTCTCATACACCCATATTCTCTCCCTTAACTGATTTATATACCAGGCCAAGGACTTCAAATCACAGATCAAAGCTACACTGAATCATAGAACTTTAACTTACTGACCCTTCTCTGAACTTAGTTACAGAATAAGAATACATCCTTGACGTCTTTCACACATCTTTTAAATATACCTCAAATATATCACAATGAGTCAAATTAAAATTATATATTATTAATTTGTAATATTTTGTATAATAGTGCTAGTTGTGTTATGACATCTCCTAGGCAACAATAGATGAGAACAATTGTTTTATAGCTACAATTAGGATTTGAAAATGTCATGTCCCGGGTTTTCAATTTGATCAATTTTTCAAGATATTCAAGTTTGAGGGAAAACATTTCAAAATATTTTTCTAATTTTCATGTCCTTGATTAATAAATTAAATCAAAAACATGGTACTACTTGGACAAGAGTATTTCAGAATATGACAATATTTTCATATTATATGATTAAGTTATTATTCACAACAAACCCATTTGGTCCGTGACGTGCATATCTCTGCTAGGGTTGTTTTGATGAGTCAACCTCAACAACATTTATTCATCTGGTGTAATGAACTTGTGATTTTGTCCTTCATCTTAATATTTTGAGTGCATTATACCTTTAAAGCAACGACATATGATAAAGCACAAGCAGAACTCCATTTTCCCATTTCAAAATTTATTATACCTCTTTATATTGCTCTTTACTATACCATAGCAGCAATTTCAAATGAACTAGAAAAACCCATGAGCATTCAATAGACCATGAAAAACCTTACCATAATTTATGCAGATCACTGTTACTCTTTAACCTGAGTTCCTCCACTTTCCAAGGTCGACCTACAACAAAAAATTGACAATTGTACATACAAGATGTCTTTGAAATTTCTGAGATTATGACACATTTCTAAATAAACAAAACAGAAAAAACCTTTTATGACTTACAAGTCATATCAATAAAAGTTCAATAAAAATACTGTACAATTGTAATTGGTGAATATAATTTCAGCCCAAATTGATGTGACCTGAATTAAACAATCTTTGTATTTACCAATTTTGCTCATTTCTTGGTGGTTGCTGCAATTTAGATAATATACAGTTCTATTTTTCTCGATTATCTGTAAAACTGAGAAAAAATATGAGTAAAAAAATGAACACTCTTTTCATTAATTAAATCCTACCCGCTTTGGCTTTCTGTTCTCCCCATTCCCTCTTGTCATCAAAGAATTCAAGTAAACCATGGCGTGCTGGTGACGTGTGGAGCTGTTGCGTTAACACTGAGCTAACTGGGCTGGAATAAACAAACTGTAAATGTTAATAATGTAAGTGTTTTTACATGCTAAAATCAATTTTCTCCCCTTTCTTGGGATTCTATAAAGCAAAGGACCATTCAGTATGATACAGTCTTTAAAATAAAACAAATAATTTATGCAAGATGCCCAGGACAGGATTTCCACAGATAGCCTCAAAACACAGTTTGAGGAAAATTTAGACCGACCATATCACATGTAAATAAAAGACGGACCACATTTGTAGCCTTAAATTATTTTTATACTAGAGATGTCACTGAACAAAAAAAAATCGGAACGGTTCGGTTCGGAACATTTTGCTTCGGAACGGAACAATTTTTGAACGGTTCGGAACAGAGTGACCGCGTGTATAAGATAAGTTGATTATCTAGGTCTATTTGGTAGGGAAAAGCTCTTCAAAACTCTTCAATGAGAAGGAGTGAAAAGAATGAACCTCTTTTGGTGCAAAATATTGAAAGAAAAATACTGTTTTGTGACGATTAAGGGCCAAAAATTGTGAAAGGGTAAAATGTTTTTGTTCCGGAACCAAACCGAAATTCTCAATTTGTGTTCCGTGTTCCATTCCGAGGGCATAATTCCGCGGATCAGAACAAAATCAGGTATCCGTGACACCTCTATTTTATACATTATAATTTGATTTTTAAAACATGTCAATCGTAGGCAAGTTACAACAGGAATTAATCCTAGTTTTTAATGAAAATTACATATTTCTAAGCAAAATGATTTGTTATTGTCATTTTAATTACTGAACATGATGTATTACGATGTGTTCTCTAGTCACGATCAAAAGTGACTAACCATTGAAGCACATCATTGGAAAGCTATTTTTGTCATATTGAATGTAGTTTTTACCAGTTTGATGTTTGACAACTGAGAAATGAAACATTATGTAATAATCTTTAAAAAGATGATGACATGATTTTAAAGACTGATAATGTAAAGAGTGTTTTTTGTTATTTTCTTTCTGAACATAATGTAATGTTACACGTGTTTTCTCATCATGACCAAAGTGACTAACCAGAATGAAATTGGTTTTGTAACAACTAAGACATCAGTTAAAAATATAACATTTCAGACCAAGACAATGTTGCGTTTTACATCTGCGTTTCCATTGTGATTTAAAATAGGTCAACACATTTCAATCACAACCGTGTAAAAGATACTATATGTCAATTGATTCCTAGTTTTTAGTTTTATTTTCCTCTTATTATTTGCATCTATTTATTTTTATGTAAAAGACTGACAGCTGTCCATTGACTGTGTGATCCCAACTGTGGAGAATGATTGACTGGTTGGCAGTCAGTCTTTTTCATACTCTATACTCATATACTCTGTGGTATGCACACTCGACATCCATGGAGCATAATGAGCATGCAAGTTAAAAGATCATGAATCGATTAAAATGTTCAGATTATTCCAAAAAAATTTCATTGAAATATACAGGCCTATTTTCCAACAAAAATTTCGGAATTCTAAAAATTTAATTTTTAAATACAGTGAATTTCACTGATACATGATTGCTACCTAGCAAAAAACTAAAAAACTATAATACCTCAGGATATGAGCAGATACAGGCCCAGGAACATGTATAAACAAGACACAGGGTGAACAATATCATACCTAAAACATAGCAGTGTGGGCTTGATGACCCAGAAAGCAAGATGGCCGCCAAAGAGTTAAACAGTTCTAGAACTTCTTACCATGAAACATGTGTAAAAATTTGAAGTAAATCGGTTAAGTGGTTTTCCTGGAATCGCGATGACAAGATTTATCTAAAAACTTTCAAAACAGCCACCAAAATGCAAGATGGCTGCCAAAAAGCAAATCAGCTCTAGTTACTTCCTGCGAAAGCAATTTGGATTTTGATATAATAGCTTTCCCATGGAGCATTTGGACAGCTGAATGATTGTGACCCTTGAAATCGAATTAAGTCGATCCGCGACTTACTTTTGGTCTCTAACTGTGTCTTACATCAGTATCATCAATCCGTGTAAGTATTTGAGCGCTGGAGTACTTCTTTTTCGATCAAGACTTGTAATTGTTAGTCGAGTGAATCGTTTTACTGCCAAATTCCAATATGGCAGTTTCTGCTCGGACATTTTCGTAAATCTCCGGAGGTTGTCCGAACCTAACTAATTCTCAAAATTCATTTCGTTCGTTGCGTATCTCGCACCTAGCAAACCGCCATATTGGAAATAGGTCTAAAAAAAACTTTCATTCGATGAACAATTTACAAGTCTTGATCGAAAAAGAAGTACTCCAGCGCTCCAATACTTACACGGATTGATGATACTGATGTAAGACACAGTTAGAGACCAAAAGTAAGCCGCGGATCGACTTAATTCGATTTCAAAGGTCACTATTGATCAGCTGTTCACTTCTCCGTTTGAGAGCCATAAGTTTCAAAAGCTAACATGGCTCTAACGTTCCGTAATCCAACACCAAATTCGAAAATTCAGAACAATACTTTGCACTTATGGATGGCGTTTGTGATCAACTATAAAACGCTTACCCCCCATAGTGTTATATATCAAAATGTACCTGTTCATATAGGGGTTCAATTGATCTACATCAAATAATAGGAAGTCAGGTTACTTTTTGAGATATCAGCATCCATTTATTGTAACTCGCGTTTGCTACCATTTCCTCAATTCTGAGATGACGGGGCAAACGCGTAGTAATCATGATCACGTCGAAACTATTTTGACCTACATTGCTATTTTTGTAATTCAAATGAAAGTTGAACTCCTCTTTATTTTGATACCAAATAGTGGCATACTAGGCACCCTAGAAGCCAACTATGGTGTTATTTACAACAAAACAACAAGTTTTTAAATGGACTATATAGGGGTCATACCTTTTGGTGGATGGATATGGAACCTCATACCTTATCTTGTAATATATGTGTGAAAATTTGAAGGAAATCCAAGTAGTTTTCCTGGAATCACGATGACAAGATCTATCTAAAAACTTCCAAGATGGCCACCAGAATGCAAGATGGCCACCGAAAAGTTAATCATCTCTGGAACTTCTTATCTTGTAATATGTGTGAAAATTTGAAGGAAATCCATCAAGTAGTTTTCCTGGAATAGCGATGACAAGATTTATCTTAAAACTTCCAAGATGGCCACCAGAATGCAAGTTGGTCGCCGAAAAGTTAATTGGCTCTAGAACTTACCATGTAACATGTGTGAAAATTTGAAGTAAATCTGTCGAGTGGTTTTCCTGGAATCGTGATGACAAGAAAGAGAGACGCTGCCCGCCCATCAAGTTGACGACAATATCATACCTTTTTTTAGGTACGATAAAAAGATGAGTCCAATGCATCAAGTTTTAGAGATCTCTCTACTTGGAGTATTCGAATCGATTTTTTTTATACATGTTCCCGGGCCTATGACCAGATAAATGAATCACATCTGACCTTCGTGTTGAAGCAAAGAGAAGTTATATCACAAAATCCTCGAAAAAGATCACGAAATCTCTAGGTCTGTATATTGCACAAGCTTTCTTCAAAACAAATAAGGTCAGCCCTTTTTCCGAATAATTTTATAAGACACGGAACTCAATAGTATGCGTGATAAAATTCATAATTGAGACCGAGCAATTCAGTTTAGGTCAAACTTCACAATCCCAACATTTTCGAGCTATCCCACTGCTTCAGGAGGATCGAGGATCGACTGATCCCAACAATTGCCCTTGGCTATGGGCCTCGTGTAATATTAATGTGCAGTTTTATCATATTTAGATATGCAAGCCAAATTTGCCTAGACTATTCAAAAATGACAAGTCCCCATTTTTATTTATCTAAAATAATATGATTCAGATATATTTCATGGACTGCACTTACCCGATATGCCTAGAAGAATATGTGAGGTTTGATTGACATATCACTCGTGATGCATTAGTAGCGCACAAAGCAAGATTTCCGATGAAATTCCTGGATATTTGGAGAACACTTCTAGTGAGACAGGTCGTCATAGTTCGATTCACAGCCGCCAGATGGACACAGGTCAAACGAGACTTGCGTTTATTCTGAATATCTTTACTTTTCTTACAGTAATACTAGATTTAATTGAACTAAAAATGTTAAAGGTAAATAAAGAAACCAAAACAATGACTTAAAATACCATGGTTAGTCTCAAATTTCAAACGAGAAAACACGAGAATTGATTACATGTGTTGCTGAAGGTCGCCATTTTTTTGCCGGTGCTCAAAAATAATATATTTTGTTGAATATGGATCCTAAGAAGATGGCAGATATGGCTGGGAGGCTGAAAGGGGCTGGGAGAGGTCTACCAACAGGCCTTGGCCTTCTTGCAGCTGCAGGAGGACTGGCATACGGCCTTTATAATTCCATGTATACAGGTTCGTCATTTTGGAATTTTTTCCAGAAAAAAAATTTCATAAGCCTCATGATTCAGACATTTACCACTTGTTTTCTTCATTTTCATTGTGTAGATGTGAAAGACATTTGTCCCATTTATGCCTTACAGAAAGTTTGAGGAAATAATTCAATATTTCAAATTTCCCATAGCCTATCTCTTGAAAAAATGCTTGCTCAGAGGATTCAATCATTATTATCACCTGACCACCATGCCCTTTTTAATCTGAGAGGAAAAAAACATGGAAAATTTGTCGAAGAGAGAGCCTTTTTTAAGTCAAAAATCAGTTTTTCTACAAATAATGGTAATAAATGGGTAAAATCATTTGGCGTGGTCTGGGATAAATCACCTAAAAAGTGGATTTTATAGTTATACACCAATATTTCAGGAAATTTACCCCCTTTTATAAGTCCAAGAGGAAGTATACATGGAAACTTTCAATCTTGAGAGGAAATTGACATGGAAAAAATGCTCAAAAAGGGGGTATTTGGCGCGGCACATAGGTATTAAGAGGTATATTGGAGTGAACCCCCCTGGATATAGATGTGGATTAGCTCTGATTAGAACTCTGGATTTGATGTAATGTCTCAGCATCTCAGTAATGTGGTTTTTTCGAGTTTTAATCTCTCCTTTGTACCTGTCATATTGTTGAGCTGTTATCTGAGTCTCTGAATGCATCAGATACAGCACCAATTGTTCTCATTTCCTAATGTCTGACATATGTTTTTACAGTGGAGGGAGGTCACAGAGCTATAATGTTCAACAGGATAGGTGGCGTGCAAGATTATATAATGTCAGAAGGACTTCATTTTAGGTGAGTAAACCATTGCATAATACTCATTTCATTTCAGAACATAGTTCCTAGTATAGATATGGTACCTCCCAAGAATCAGGGTATAAGCCATGTTCACTTGTTATTGCCAGATTACTTTTGATATGGACTTGTTGAATGTTGATACTTAATGACATTTAAGGTATCAGCAAATATTAACACTGCACGTGGTCTATAGTGCCATATTGATCTGCATCCCTCAAAACCTTAGCTAGAAGCCTTTTGCAATATACTTAACTTATACAGTAACTTTCTGAAGGAATCTAATAGACTTTGCAATTTGTAATGAATTATTATACCATGGGCTTTCAAGACAAAGCCCATATCCACTATACAATAATCGTATCTTGTTGTTGTAGGGTGCCATGGTTTCAGTATCCTATTATATATGACATCAGAACAAAACCAAGAAGAGTAGCATCTCCAACAGGAAGTAAAGGTAAGGCACATGGCTAATTTCTCCCTCAGCAGTGTAATAGTCCTCCCTCTTGATCATTTCATAAAAAAGTGCATGTTATGTAATGCTTTGAGATGGTGTCGCTATATTTGACTGACTCCTGAAATTGTTGTAGATTATCCCGTGCCAGGACTATAGTCCTGCGAACGTCTTAATCTTTTGCCTGTGCAATTACAACATGGGGGAATTTTCTACGCTTCTTACACTTAAGATACCTATTTCAATAGATTCCTTGGTATTTTAGCATTCTTTTCGTGTAGTTGAGTGTAAGTGTAAGGGGCGTAGATAATTCTCCCAAGCTGTAATCGTACAGGCAAAAGAATGCGCTCGTTACAGGCCTATAGTCCTGGCACGGGATAAGTTGTAGACTTTTAGAGGAGGATATAATAAAAACACTTCTAAGCAGTGTTGCATATTGTAAGACTTGTCATCAATTGGGATGATTTCAGATTTACAGATGGTTAATATATCACTCCGTGTGTTGACTCGCCCCATGCAGACAATGTTACCACAAGTGTACAGACAACTGGGCCAGGATTATGATGAGAGAGTACTGCCATCTATTGTTAATGAAGTAAGTCAGTCTTCCATGTCTTGCGAAAGAAGTCTTCCAATTAAGTTGGAATATTATTATTAGGTATTGAGTTATCAAAATTTATATCATTACAAAATATTTACCAATGCTCTTTCTTATTTTAGGTTTTAAAAAGTGTTGTTGCAAAATTCAATGCTTCCCAGCTTATTACGCAGCGTTCTCAGGTCAGTTTGCTTATACGTCAAGCCCTTGTAGAGCGAGCCAAGGACTTTCATATTATACTTGATGACGTGTCTATCACGGAGCTGAGCTTTGGCAAGGAGTACACTAATGCTGTTGAAGCTAAACAGGTATGTTTTACATTCCACATGCTATTAATTCATTGAAATACATGCCAGGATTTCAAATTTTACATGCATTGCATTGTGTGTTTAGATGCCAAAATATTATAGTCAACGAATTACAACACTATGAATATTTTATTTAGATTGCACAACAAGATGCCCAAAGAGCCCAGTTCTTTGTGGAACGTGCCAAGCAGGAACGACAACAGAAAATAATCCAAGCTGAGGGAGAAGCAACATCAGCTAGTTTGGTATCCTTTCACATAAAATATAGTTGCTCTATATGAAGACATTAAACGTCAGTCATGTGGATTGAAATTAAAGGATATAAGAAATTAACAATGGGTATTTTTGATCAATGAAGATATGATTTCAACTACAATTTATACTACATGTGATTTTTCTATTCATAATTGAAAATGACTAGATTATTTGCCATATGATGAAACCTAAATAGTGATTCTAACCAGGGGCATTGCTGCGATGAGAGAAACCTAAAACAATCGCTTGAAATCTTGGGGTGCAATCCTGAGTCTGGATGCATTCTGTAAGGCCAGGCGTAGACAAACCTGCCGATCCATGGCATCAACATAGAGTTTTATTGTTGATGAATATCTTTTGGCAGTACATTTAGGGCTATTAACAGGGGGGAGTGGGGGGAGGGAATGCGAGGTGATGTTCCCTGTGTTAGTGGCATGATCACATCTTTAGTAACCTGATGGCAGGTCATCTTATCACAAGAGAGGGAAATACCCAGAATTCATTGATGAGCCTTTCTCCATTTTTTAAAGATTAACTTTTTAGACTCATCTTAACACAGAATTAAGTTCAATAATGAATTCTGGGCATTTCCTCCTCTTTTCCGTCATGTAGAAAAACACAAAATTAACATTCTGATTTCTGAGTCCGACTCTATCTAAAACTCGTGAGAGATCTGTTCTCTTTCATTAGAGGCTAAGGAGCCCACAATGTCAACTTAAGAAAACTTCACCACCCTCTGGTTTATGTCATACAAAGTTTGTGTTTGTCAATGATTTTAAGATGATGAAATATCTAGATACAGTATGAACAAAACGTTAATAGCCATCCCTGCTTATGTAAAGGGAAACAAAGCCTTTTTATTTTTTTTATTTAGTATTGTGTCTCCACCACCACCTTTTTTGTGATCACGATCGGTGGTTGGTGATTGGCATCTGTAACAAATGGCAGGTAGTAACATTTTGCATGTTAATGCCTTGTTTTTATTACTTTACGCAAATATTCCTTGACCACTCTAATAGATAGGTGAAGCTATATCTAATAACCCTGGATACCTGAAGCTGAGAAAACTAAGAGCAGCACAAAACATATCTAGAACAGTAAGTAATTTTTCGAAAATGTGTTCCACCTTCTTAGGGGCATGTCAATTTTTAGACTTTATAAAAAACTAGCTACTGTCTTACTGATACTCATATTCATTTTTGGGATTCATGTAGGTGATTTACACCACTAAACATGCTGGCAAGTGGCAACAACCTGGCTTATGTCTCGTTTTTAAGAAACCAGCCTTTTCAGCATGTGCGCCCAATGAATCGTGCTATACATGTAACTGATGTTTGCCTTAACCTGTTGGGTGAAAATAGAAGTTCATTTACATATTGTTTGAATACAGCATTGGTATTTGTACAATACTGTATTTTGTTAGTCAAAAGTTGAATTTTGAACATTTATATGATTGTTGATCACATTTTATTGTGCATTTCAGATTGCCCAGTCTAAGAACCGTGTCTACTTGAACGCAGGCAGTCTAATGCTGAACATTGTGGACGAGGAATTTGATAAGACACTAGAGGCTTCCGTAACAAAGGGAAAGAAAAAATAGACAATATCTTAGGACAATTTTAGATAAACAAAAGCAAATGTGGGGCAGTAGCTGATTTCTGTACAGTCACTGCAATAGTGATTTAAATGGTAGTGTTGAATGATTTTGAAATCTGTTACCATGGAAACTACTCACAGTGAACTTGATACATTACTTTATTGTCATACATTCACAAACATTGGTGCCCTGTAGATAAATAATCATTAATAAATTCAAGTACTACAAAACCCATTATTTCCAAACTCATCCTGAAAACCTTTATAGCATCATAAGTTATTTTCATGTATTGCCATAGAAGATCATGGGGTATTTTATGGGTTCAACTGTATGGATTTTATAGGTGACAATATTGCATGCAGTGGAAATCTCATGTTATGATGCAGTTACTGGATTTTGGGAAATAAATCATGGAATTTCAACATGTAACTTACTGTATAATTGCCAAATTGAAGATTATTAATTTTTTCATCATATGTTTCATTGTTCATAGTTTTATTTCTTCGTAAAATTACTGAAGTTATATCAGTCTGATGTACTACTAATTTAAAGTGTTGCATACTGCAAATGTTACATGCATTTTGCCTTGATCATGGTTTTCAAAAAAACGAATTATGCCAAATGAAAAACTTGAATAATGTTACATTAATAGACTTCATGAAATAAACTGTACATAAAGATAAAACAACATAACATTTCTTGTTTATTTGACAATTTATTTAACAACATGGGATATCTTTTAATAATTTAGTTCAGTACTACATCCACTCAGTGACTGTTTTCTTTGAATCAGACATGTGAATTAATGTGCTGAAATAGGTAAGAACAGTATAATGGGCCACATGAAAGTGGTATTATATGAACCACATGAAAGAAGTGTTTTATGTGCCACGTGAAAGTGCATGATTGTTGTGTGTTGTACAGTTTATAGTGACAAATAAATATAAATAAATGAACAGATAATACAATACAAATTATAAATATGAGCAGAATATAAGCATTAAACAATACAACATAAGCATTATAAATTACAATATAAGCACATTACAATATCAGTATTATACAATACAATATCAGTATAATACAATATTATCTTATGCAGAATTAATACCAAAATGAGATTCATAAAATCAAACCTATTTGGAATTGTGTTGAATAAATTATTTGGCAAATTTGAATTGAGGAACTGTTATTATTATGTATTGCATTGATATATACACTGAAGTCTGGAAACTGGCTGACAGAACGATGATTTTGTGCATTTATTATATATATTTAAACTGTACTCCCGGTATTTTTCGCAAAATCATGTTTTCTCTAAATTCGCGAAATTAAAACTTGCCAAACTAACTGGGAGTACAGTACTTTGGGTTTTCGTATTGACTAACAGGTAAAACAAAACAGTAAACCGATAAGCTGTTTACATCATCCACTGTACTTGTGCATTATTCTGAGTAAATATGTGAAGATTAACTAAGTACATGTACATTACCAGACTGAGTACATGTACATTAACTGAATACATGTACATTAACTGAGTACATGTACATTACCAGATTGAGTACATTAACTGAGTACATGTACATTACCAGACTGAGTACATGTACATTACCAGACTGAGTACATGTACAATAACTGAATACATGTACATTAATTGAGTCCATGCACATGAACTGATTGAGTACATGTGCATTAACTGAGTTACAAGTACTGTACATTTATGTCAAGCACTGGGTGTAAAAATTCTAAACTCGATCTTGACTCTTACTGGTTTATGTGCATTGCTTGCAATCTTGCACAAGGTATATGGTCTATTACTAAACATTGGCATAACCATCCCTATATCTTAACATTCAGCATTTAATTATTACAATTTTACATTATGAGTCACCAAAACAAAAATTTGTAGATTATTAAATACACATATAATTACAATTATGAATGGTTTGCATTGAAACTGCTTGCACCAAAGAATCATAATTATTACATACTGTAGTATAATATAAACACTATACTCATAAAGCAATACAGGGCCGTCAGATGGGGGGGTGCGATGGGTGCGACCGCACCCCCCTTTGTCACCCCCCAAAATAAATTTTAAAAAAAAAATTTGAAAAAAAAAAATTTTTGTAATTTTTTTTCATTGACTCATACACTTTGAAAGTACCCAGAAAGCACCAAATAGCATCTTAAAATTGTAAAATTTTCTAGGGGCATTGGCCACCCCTCACACCCCCCACAAAACAATGGAAAAGTTCTAAATTTATTTTAGTGTTTTGTCTCAGACACTTTTAAAGTGCCCAGACATCATCAAATAGCTCCTTGATATAGTAAGTGTTTCTGGGGGACTTGCTCCCCCTCTTGCATCTTGCACTTGCATAACCCCCCCCCCTGGCGAACCCCCCCCCCCACCTCTGGCGCCCCCCCCCCCCCCCCCCCCTCTGGCGCCCCCCTAAAAAATTTTGATTTTCTCAAATTGTTTAATTGACTCATACACTTTGAAAGAGCCCAGAAAGCACCAAATAGCGTCGTAAAATTGTAAAATTTTCTAGGGGGAGTGGGCCACCCCTCACACCCCAAACAAAACAATGCAAAAGTTCTGAATTTGTTTTATGTGTTGACACTTTTAAATTGCCCAGACATCATCAAATAGCTCCTTGATAAAGTTAATGATTCTGGAAGACTTACACTTACTCGCCCTCTGGCATCCCCACTCCACCTCCCCCTCTGGCAGACCCCTCCCCCTAACACCCCCCTTTGAAAGTGCCCAGAAAGCACCAAATAGCACCTTAAAATTGTAAAATTTTCTTGGGAAATAGGCACTTTTAGGCACAGACACTTTTAAAGTGCCCAAACTTCATCGAATAGCACCTTGATATTGTAAATTTTGATATGGTGGACAAACACTTGCTCCCCCTCTGGCACCCCAGCCCCACCTCCCCCTCTGGCACCCCCCCCCCTTTGACACACCCAAAATTAAAAAAATTGTGATTGTTTTTCAATGTTTTTATTGACTAATACACTTTAAAAGTGCCCAGAAGCACCAAATATCATCTTTAAATTGTAAAATTTTCTAGGAGAGTTAGCCACCCCTCACATCCCCCCAAAAACAAAAGAAAATATTCTGAATTTCATGTATTGTCTCAGACATTTTTTAAGTGCCCAGACATCATCAAATAGCACCTTGATATGGTCAATGTTTCTGGGGGACAACCCCTTGCTCCCCTACTGGCACCCCAGCCCACTTCACCCTCTCATCCTCTTTGACACCCCCAAAAGAATTTGAAAAAAATTCACATTTTTCTTATTGACTCATAACGCAGAGGCGTACCAGATAGTTGCAAATTCGCTCCAAATACAACCAAATTTCAAAATTTTCCTGGGGAAGGACCCCAGACCCCCCTGAATGCTCGGTTTTTATTCACTCAACTCTTATTTCCGTGGTGGTGGCGTACTACTTGGAAACTTACACTTTGAAAGTGCCCAGAAAGCACCAAATAGCATCTCAAAACTGTAAAATTTTCTAGGGGGAGTGGACCACTCCTCACGCCCCCCACAAAACAATTGGAACGTTTGGAAGTTGCATTTGTTAATTCCAAACCAATATAGAGAGTAACTGAGCACCCCCCCCCCCCCCCCCCCCATCTGACTTACGCGATTTGATTTACGCGGCAAAAAAATTGACAATTTTATATTCTCTTTATAGTAAGCTAAAAACCGCACCCCCCTTGGAGAAAAGTGTCTTACGGGCCTGCAATATGCTAAATCAAATAAATTGACTTTGTGTGTTCTCTTTGCTCCTATGCAAACTATTTCTCTTTTCTGAATATCTAACACATTCGATGTACCTCTGTCACTGTTCCCCAGCTGGATGACTCTAGCTACAGTTAGCCTTTTTCATTTTCGACAAACATCTGATTTCAGCTAAACGAAGTTGAATCTGGATTTCAAAAGTTTCGCCATGCAAACTAATAAAGCTGCGATTGTAAACAACCACAGATAAATGCTCTTACAACTGCGGTATGGGTGGATTTTAAAGAAAACAGCTTCACTTAGAATGAATCTAATTGAAGTTGTCATCAACTTCAGTTAGAGTCAATCTAAGTGAAGCTGTTTTCTTTCAAATTCTCTAATATTGCAGGTGTTTGGGCATTTATTTGTGGTTTCACAATCATAGTTTTATCAGTTTGCATGATGAAACTTTAGGATAAAAGAAAAGATAAATCAGAGTTTTGTGGAAAACGAAAGAATTTGGCAAACATCTTGAATGACACTAACTGCAGTTAGAGTCATCCAGCTGTGGAACAGTGTCTGTATTCTACATATGTTGGACTTCAATTTCAATGCACTACTATATTCTACTAAGGTGGTTCCCTCTTTAATTTAGCAAAGAGATAAACACATGTACTTCTATTCACCAATTTTCATTGTCATTTCGCCCATGTAACTTAAATACTTTTATGAACAAACTGTCATTATGTCAAACCCGTCATTGCACACAAGCCCTTATTTAAACACAAAAGGGGAACCCTATTTTCCATTGGTAACCTACAAATTACAGGGGTAACCTAAGTATTATGAGGGTAACTCATATATTAGAATTGCACTTCAGGTTCACTGTTACAAAATCACATTATCCTGAGGCTAGAGTATAAGACAGAGATATTTTTGAAGAATAGAGATGAAAATAATGACCGTACACAATGCTTTCAAAATAGAAGAAATACATGATAGACACCGAAGGTTGTTTTGCATAAATGTCTCCTGGAATTCATGTATTATTCCAGGTTTGAAAGAGGGGTGGGAATATATACTGTAGTAATCATTTTATCTATTAACTCTAGCCTCATCTTCTGAGATCAAGTTGATCGTTAAACATAATTGCACTTTTAATCACATTTACTTGATTTATCTCTTCATGGAATATCTATCAGAGATTTACTGGAGAACACTAGTGCACATCTGTCATGCTGTCATCATAAATGTCACTAAATCCATTTTTAGGGACCCTGCTTTTAATAATACTCGGTTATGGCAAATTGCAGCACCTTTAGAATTCCGAATTCTCTACAGCCAATATTGGAAACTATGTTCCTTTGAACAAATGATAACTATGGCTATGTGCAGAGTGTGTCATAAGGATTACTGATCTG